CTGAGGTAGGATCTTCCTCTGCAGCCCCCGTTCATGTTCCAGTATTGTCATCATCCCCAACTTATCTTCCTAAACCCCATGTTGTCTGAACCCCCTGGGTTTCTTGAAGATTGTMCTTATCCCCTTGYGGCCTCAGAAGTGGTTATGCCTTCCAGCGATGTCTGATGTTGGGAACCCCTTCCCGGAATTAGTACCTCGCAGGTGTTCATCTGGGAGACTAATCTTTGTGTACCAAAAGGTCGCCTGGCCTAACAAACTTGACAGAATCGTGCCACTCATCCAGCTTTCTCCCTTGCTCAGCCCCCGTTCATGTTCCAGTATTGTCATCGCTCCCAACTTATCCTCCTTAAACCCCCGTTGTCTGTACACCCTGGGTCGCTTGGAGATTGTATTTATCCCCTTGCGGCCTCAGATGTGGTTATGCCTTCCAGCGATGTCTGAAGTTGGGAACCCCTTACGGGAATTAGTACCTCGCAGGTGTCCATCTGGGAAACGGATCTTTTTGTCCCAAGAGGTCGCCTGGCTTGACAAACTTGACAGAATCGTGCCACTCTTCCAGCTTCAGCCCTTACCCAAATATCCTTTCCTCCCTATTCCTCTCTATCTGTCGTGGGGTATCCTGAACCTCTCCTAACCCTTCACGAGTTGTGCCATTCCTTCCATCGTAGATAAGAGGTCTTTATCTCAGCAACGTTTCCTTCAACCAGCCAAGTATTAGTGAACTTTAGAAGTGCTGCCCGCCGTTGTTCGTCATCGTTTGGTAGGGAGAGTTTTGCCTTGTGCCACTTGCATAGAATCTCCGCTTGGATGAAGTCTTTAGTTTCCGCCCAGACTTTTTCCCTCGAGTTTGACGTACCTTCAATGGTCTTGCCGCACCTTTCCTTCCAGATGATCCACAGTGTCGGTTTCCTGATCATTCCGAACCTGATCCTCTCTGTCTTGTTGAGCTGGGTGGGGATATTAGTCCAAAGGAGAAGTTGGAGGGGATGTTCAGGGAGGGGAGATGAGAATAAGGAATCCCAGAGGGTCGATGCCCTTGCCCAGAGGGACAATGGAGCATGTCTTCGGGTTCATTATCCGTACAAACTGAACATAGATCTGAGTTGTTGGGATCGTTCTTGTGTCTCCGGATGTGCAACCATTGATTATCCGGTAAAGCCACGTATGCAATTAGCCATTGGAGGCTTCTAATTTTTATTGGTCTGATTGACTTAAATTTTTTCCATGGGATCTGTGGGATGTGGCTGGCGTTTTGACCTGTTAGTTTGGACCACCTGCTCCTGATTATGGGGTCCGGATCTTTGGTTCTGAGGAATAGCCTGTAGCCCAATTTGACTGAATAATCCTTTATGTGGGTATTAGTTTTTACAGTTTTGCTCCTTCCTAGAGTCCAGGCCCATTCCGCCGGGTCGAATTCCAGGTCCTGGATTGCTGTATCTGACCTGAAAATTGTTTTGGGCCACGAACCGGTGACCCTTACTTTCCTGAAGAGGAACATATCGAGAACCACTTTTTCTACATCCTTGTTCAGGATGGAAACATAATTGTGTGTTGACCGGATAACTGGAAAGGCTCTGAAGGCAGCCAAGGTCTGCGAGTCCTGCTGCTTATGGGAGAATTGGTAGGCCTTCAAAGGGGACTGTTCTTGTGTCTTGACTCCCCACTCCCCCGTTTTCCAGGTCGGTGCTTCTGTTAGTCTTTCTTTCCATCCTTCCAGGATGCATCTGATTATTGTTTGTAGGTTCTCCTGACGCCGGTGGCATCCCTTGAGACTGGTGGTGAGTTCCTGATCAGAGATCCACTCCTTCTTGTCCTCGTCCCATATGTGCAAAATTTTCCAGATCCCATGTTTTATCCATGATAACCAGTGTATGCCATGCGGTTTGAGCAAGAGCGGGTGATCGTTTTCGTCTCTCACCCACGGATTGCCAAATAGAGGTTGCCTCAGTACTTCTTCTCTGGTCCTTGGTTTCCCGATTTTCTTTGTCATAATTTCCCACCAAACCCTGAGAAGTGCAGTCCAGTATGGTATGGGGGGGTTGGTTCCGTTGGGGGTTCCCTTTCTTTGTTGTTTTCTGCGGCCCGTTTTTGGGCTCCATTCTTTGTTCATTACCCAGAACAGGCCTGACATGTTTGCTGGTGATGATATCGGAGCCAGCTCTCTAATGTTGTCCAGTGCCAAATTATTCCATGTTGTGCCCGATTGGGTGAGGAGTTTGACAATCCATTTTATTTGTAGAGCTTTTGTTTCTTGTTTGGGATCTATAATGCCAAGACCGCCTTCAGAGGGTTTCCTAGTAATGTAGTGCCATGCTACTTTTTGTATATAATTTTCCTTGTTGGGATCTCCTGACCACAGGTAGGCTCTTGCTTTGAGATTAAGGTCCTTTATTGAGTGATCCGGGATTGTCCATATTGATGTTATGTACCACATCATTGAGAAGACTGAAGTGTTGATGGCCAAGGCGCAACCCAGCAGGGAGGTGAATGTATTGCCCCATCTACCCATCTTGTTGATTTGTTTGGCAAGCATATTTTGAGACATTTGAGGCGCGCAACCTTCTTTCGTCAAGAGGATGCCTAAGTATCGGGTAGGCGTGTCGGGTGAGTCCCAAGTCATTGCTGTCTCTGGGCCTTGGAGAAGAGGGGCGTCTTCTTCGGATAGCCACCATCCAATCGTTTTCTTCCAGTTAATCTTCATTTCTGAAGCTAGTCTGAATGCTTTCATTGCTCTTATTAGGGCACTAATGGATGAACCTGAGGCCCGTATGAGGACCGTAAGGTCATCAGCGAACATTATGACTGTTGGAAAATGTATATGGTGGTTTGATCCTGCGTTGATCTCCGGTAGTCTGTGTATGGACGGATCCTTGCGCAGGAAAGACGTTATTGCTTCCATGATGAACAGAAAGATTGGAGGTGCTAGTGGGTCCCCCTGACGTACTGATCGTGAAATTGGGTAACATTCTGAGAGCATGCCATTAATTTGCACACAGCCAATAGCGTCGTTGTACAGGATTCGTACCCATTTTCTGAAATTTGGCCCTACTCCCATCTTCTCCATGCTTGCATTGAGAAAGGCTCAATTTACCTAATCGTAGACTTTATCAAAGTCGAAGAAAATATTGTCGTATTGATCTTTTTTTCTCTGACTTTATTGGCTGCTTCATTGAGGGTGAGTACATTGTCTAGAATATACCTTCCCGGAATGAAACCCGTTTGATCAATGTGAAAACATTTGTCGGTCAGGTCGAGAATCCTGAAAGCCAAAGCTTTGGCCAAAATTTTGTAGGGGAGAGTCAATAAGGAAATAGGCCTGTAGTTCCTTATATCTTCTTTTTCGTCTTTTTTGTATAGCAGGGTGACCACACTACTGCTCAGCAGATTCCCCAGACCTTTTTGTCAACTGTCATGGTAGAAGTTCAACAAATCCTTGCCTAGGAGTGGCCAAAATTTTACCCAGAATTCTTTCGTCAGCCCGTCAATGCCTGGCGTCTTGTTGCTATTCATGTTTTGGATTACGCATTGCAGTTCTTCTAGTGATATGGGCTTATCGAGAGCTTCTGCCTGTTCTTGTGAAATTGTTCGATCTAGGTATTGAAGCATTCTGGTGCGTGCCTCTCTGGTGTTGGGAGGTGTAGGCGTAGGGGTCTTCGTTTGGTAAAGCTCCTCGTAGAATCCCTTAGCTATGTTGAGTATCTCTTCGGTATCCGTTAAAATTTTTGAAGGGTCAGCGAGGGTTCTCAGGCCTTCTATAGAGCTAGATCTTGCACTAGTTTGGATTCTTGCAAAGAAGTGTTTGGACATTGATTCACTTAAGTCATACTCGTTCATTCTGGGCTCTTATCTGCAAGCCCTTCAGTTCCCACCAACTCCACGTGGCTAGCTCTTCTCTTGCTTTCTGAAAGATATCTGTGTAGATTGGGGAAGACGGGTCGTCAGCAAGGTTAAGTTCCGCAATCTTAAGAGTTGTTTCCAATGCTTGTTTCCTTCGATTTCTATTGCTTGCCATTTTCCTTGAGATTCTTGCTACCGTTTGTGCAAGTATGGAGTAGCTTTTTTGGAACCACTCCCACCTGTCGTGAATAGGTAGATAGTTACCTCTCATATTGTGCCAGCATTCTAGGACTCCTTCTTGGAAGAGTTGGCTTAGTAGGAGAGAGTTATTCAGTTTAAGGAAACTATAACCTTTCTTCATGTACTGTACGAAACTGATGATGAGCTCAATGGGTTTGTGGTCCAAACCCGGGTATGGTTGTAACGGAAGAATTTATGCGTTCTTGACCGTTCCCATTAGTGTGTCTGAGATTAGGAAGTAGTCGATGAAAGAGAAGGTCGTATGTTGAGCATGTTTTTTCTTGACCAACGTGAATGATTTTAGCCCCGGATGCAGAGTGCGATATGGTTCGACTAGATTGTGTTCCATGATCAACTTTTGAATGGGTACCGCCTCTTGTGTCGACTGGTTGACCGTTGCTCTGGAGATACGGTCACTGGATGGGTCCAATGTTGCGTTTCAATCTCCTCCTAAAATACATGGTGTCAGGGGGGGGATCAGTTGACCAATGTTCGATATGAATGTTGTCCTTTCATAAGAGTTGTTTGGTGCGTACACGTTGATTAGTCTGAATTCCTCTTCCTTCCATTTTAGATCCATCAGACACCATCTGCCCTCTATTGTATCCGCCTCCATGCCTACAGTCGACCCTGATGTGAGGAAGCGGGACGATTTTGGTATGAGGATGGTTGTTCCCTTTGTGCTTGTTACATTATCCGAAGACCATACTTCACTTGAGATTCCTCCCATCTTCTTTGTTAAGGCTTTCCGGATTCTGTTGTGTTCTGTAGATGTAGTGAGGTGTGTCTCCTGAAGCAGGATTATATCTGCCAGTTTATTTGTGTGCACCATCAGGCCTTTGATGATGTCATTTAGTTTTGCTTCTTTTTTCTTTATGTTGCCCAACCCGTTGACGTTCCAACTTCTGATTACTATCCCTTGTGTCTTCCTGCGTGTTTCATTGGCATTTGCCCTCTTCCGAAAGATTTCCAGCATTGTGACGGTCAGACCGTGGTGAGACTGGTGATCAAGGTATTAAAATTTTCAGGAGGTCCTGGTCGAGGTCTTCCATAGCGGATGTGGACTCATCCGGCGGATCCCGCTGTGTCTTGGGGGAAGCGTCATCTAGTCGGTATTCTCCAATACTTCCGCTGGTGCCTTGATCCATTGAGGAGACCGACTTTGAGGTGATTCCATCATCCTGCCATTCTTCCATGTCATCCTCCGAAAAGTCACTTTTATAGAAGCTATCCAGGTCCATGGTGATTGTCTTGGCTTCCAGGTCACTGTCACCATTCAAGACACCGAAGCTCAATAGTTGTGCTACTGAGGCTGCCAGCAGTTCTGCTGGGATTTCCGGGCTCGCAAGGACACTGTACGGGATTGTTGTAACCGTTCTCCATGGTCTCCACATCATTCCACTCTTGAGTTGAGTGTTTGTTGGCATCTTGGCGATCATGGGAGAAAAGGCGTCGGGGCTGTGTCGTTCCCCTTCCCTCTGTTGGTCCTGCTGTTTTCCATGTTCAGTTTGCACGGAGCTGGACTCCAAACAGTCATGTGTTTCGGCTGTTCCGTACAGTCCCAATCGAAATTCATTCGTTACCTTTTCTTGGAGGCTACGTTTTGTCCTTCTTCCAGCCTGGGAATTGAGAAAGACACGTCCGTAGCCACCTGCCATTCTCCCTCCTTCTCCAGGTACCTTGCTGCAATCAGTGGACGCGTACCCATTAGAGTGAGCCTTGCTGATTTGGTCGAGGCTACCACGTGAGGAGCTTTACCATCTGTGATGTGTTGAATGGACGTGAATTCTGGTCCGTATTCTGGGTTCAGTTTTCTCAGCTTCTCAGTTTGGGCCATAACAACTGTTGCCTCTTTTTCTAGCATTGTTCGTGTGGATTCTTCCTTAGCCTCTACTCGCTCTGAGTTCGGGGCTGAGTCTGGTCCCTTTTTCTTCTGATTTTTTGTTGATCTTCACTTTTTCGGGCGCAGATCCTGGAAGGAATCGTTGGTGTTGAGGACTGTTTTGTCCTCATCGGTCAGTCCCTGTTCTCTGGCTCTTTTTTTCTCAGCATATCTGAAAGCGGTATATTCTGATAATTCCTCCGCCTTTTCCTTTCTTAGAGCCTCATACATGTTGCTTGATTCCTCAATACCTGCGACTGTTCGTATCTTGTTGCTCATTCCGTTCCTCTGGGACCTTTCTATGTGTTTTAGACAGGCTTCTCTGATATCGAAAGCGTGTTCTCTTTCCTTCTTTGCCTTCTTTATGTCGCCGCGCAGCCATTGGAGGGATCGATGTGAGTCGGGTCCACTATCCGTGGTAGTTCCTTCAAACTCACCCTTGCCCTTACCCTCCTCGTTGTCCTTGGAGTCAGTCCTTGTGTCGGTGGGATCAGAGTCTGTGTCCCTTTTCTGTCCTTTTGCAGGGGGGCTGTACTTGTCTCATTTCCTTGTCTGAATTTGATGCTTTTCTTCTCTTGAGGCCTACTTCTGCCTTTCCTTGTGAGTCTTTTCCTTCGAGTACGCGCTTGTGGCTGGTCTCTTGCTCTAAGCGACTTAGCATTTCTTTGAACGTTGTTGGTTCCTTGCTGTATAAGTCTTCTGCCTGTTCCCGGACTGAATCCAAGTCCCATAATAAATCTTTTCTTGCCTTCTCTTCGCTCACCACGCGAGAGTCGATCAATGGATTTGTGTTGATTCTTGTTGGATTCCCCGTGATCTTACCTGTTGCCTTCTTCTGCCATCTACTAGCAGCGGGAGGAAAAATGTTGGGTTTCTTGACTGAGGGCTCCCGGTCTGCATAATGCCAGTCTGGGTCATCGGGGTTGACATCGAAGAGCCAACCATCATAGTTGGGGTCAATGATGAACCATGTACCCGGGGCATCCCCGACCTCCACTAGCATGCTGGGGAGAAGTTTCCTTTCCTTTGATTGCTTCGGAAACTTTGGACAACTTGGATTTGTGCCCAAATGCCCGCACCCCCTGCATCTGAAACAGATTGGAGAAGTCTTCGTTGAGACGCTGATTTCAAGGACTTTGCTCTCGATCTGAAATTTCCAGATGTCTGGAAAGACCGGGGAGTCATCTGTTTTGACTTCAAGCAGGGTCGTCATAGACCCACAGTGAGGTGAGAGAAATTCTGGAGTTGGTAAAATCCATTTCATGATTTTGTTTGTTGTGTATTGACGTTCTAATCTGTCCACCACCAAGCCGTGGAAGCCCGGGTGGATGTCGTCAAACTGAACCCAGAAGTGCTCCTTCATCAGTGTCTGCTTGTAAGAGACCGTGAACGTGGGGTTCTGTCTCTGAGCCGTTTGTTTCTTCCATTTTGTTATTGTGCAGATTGATCCATTGCAGTTTCTCGACTGCATCCCCGCTGCGATCTGGGCGTGAATCTCCTTGTTAAAGATCGCCATGATGTTGTTGCGCCCCAAATTCTGCAGGGAGAAGGCTTCCCCTACGTCCTTGAGTTTGTCCTCCTTTTTTATCGTCTCAATAATCCATTTTTTTTTCTCTGCCGGCATCAGGTCTGCTCCGTTCCGGGTAAAGTTGAATACTACCGCATGCCTCTCATGAAGATCATCCAATTCATGAATCTTGTCCTCAGGGTATTTCCACACAATCACTTCCTCTTCTTTATCTTCCACTAACACTTTCTCCGTGACGGGCACTCCTTCAACCTTGGTTCTATCTATCAGGAACTTAAGTGCTTCGTTATTAATGAGTCTCATTTGTGTCTTCCCTGTGCCGGTGGTATGGGCTGTGTTCTGGCCGCCTTGCTTGGGCGAGGCCGCTACCCGGCCCGCGGATGGAGAGGCCATTTTCTCTTAGTGAATGCTGCTCGATTGTTAACAGGTCCAGCTGGGACTCAAAATGGGACCAGGTCAGAGTCGAAGTGAACCTGGATCAAGACCGGGATGGAATCGAAGTGGGACATGATCAGGGGCGAGGTGGGGCGGGTGGGAAACGAGGTGAGCTGGGATCGGAGCAAGTCGGGATCAGGGGTGATGTGGGGGTGGGTGGGAATCGAGATGAGATGGGATCGACGAGGGTGGGGATGGGTAGTAAAGTAGGAGCGGGCGTGGGTTGAGTTAAGTTAGGATCGAGGTGGGATAGGTTCGGGCGAGAGTCGGAGTGGGTTGGGATTGGGATCGGGTAGGAATCAGAGTGGGAATCAAAGTGGGCCGGGGATCGGGTGGATGTTGAGGTGAATCGGGATGGGGGATTGAAGAGTGGGGGGGAGAAAGGGTGGGGATCAACGTGGGTGAGGATCTGATTCGGGAGGGAGTCGAAGTGGGTCAGGATCGGGTGGGAGTCGTAATGATTTGGGATTGGGGTCGGAATGAAATGGGTTGGAGTCGTGATTGACGACGAGGGGGGTTGGAATCGGGATCGGGCGGCAGTCGCAATGGGAATGGGTGAGGGTTGGGGTAGGTTGGGAGCAGGATTGGGGGGGCAGACAGAGTGAAGGGGTAGGTTGGGAGAGGGATTGGGGGAGGAGACAGAGTGAAACGGGGGTGGGGTCAAGATGAGGATTGGTGGGTCGGATGCGAAATGGTGAGAGTTGAGTTAGGACGTGAATAAGGGAAAGGGATGT